GGGTGGGGGATGCGACCCCCTATTTGGGGAATACAAAGGATTTTGTTGTCCGAATTATTATTTCGGCAAATGACATCACAAAATACTTGTTATGACTAGATCTCTTTGATCGGGTGATTCATTACTAAATGACACTACTAAATTACGATTATAGTTCTATCCCATATGTTCAATAACTTTGTTTATTGAGTTGTAAAATAAATAATTCATTTGATAGGCAAAAAATCCTTGCTAACTAAAGTTAACTTAAATGTGTCCATCCAGGGCGACAAGGTTCTCTTGGACTAAGTAATACATGATTGTTGATAATAATTTTTTTGCCAGGTTTGGTCGACTATTTCTTCTAATAAAGTGGACTAGGGACCATGATCACATGGGATGATGAACCCATAAAATCTTGATCAAGTGTGTTACAATGTCTCCCACCATCTGCAATGAGCCAACAATGATAAATTTAATCAATTTAAAATCTAATCATTATTATTATATGCCAAGATTGAGCAATTAGCACACCTAATGACTCGCCTTAATTTAAAGTGCTCTCATGTTGCCATGTGGGATAGTTAACTATTGAGGATTGTGCCTATATGGAACCTCATGCCCATATCAAAAAACCCTCGCCAAATAAAGGTAAAATCTTCGGGCAATGTCTTATAAAAAATTTAATCTGTCTTCTAAAATTGTGATCCAGGTGTGAGAGGTTGGTTCACAAATTTTTAGTACCCACAACGAGGAAGGAGAATATCCAATGGAGCATCATTTTTTCTCAAAACGTTATTAGTGTGAAGACGATTAAGGTTGGTTGTGTCCATTTCTTTTCTATTCATAGCGGAGAGAGTTGGAGAAAAAAGTTAGGGATCAAAAGGAAAAGTATATTTTTATGAGATAGGGGAATGGTTGATTAGTACCAATAAGGCTTGTGCTTTTTTAAGGAGATAACATAAATTCCAACATTAAATGTGGATGAGTGCACACTTATCTCATACTTAAAAACTTAGCGTTGTATGTCCAAATATATATTGCTCTCAGTTTCAAGAAAAATTTTCTTATGATGAGTTCCATACATTTTTTTTATTTTATTACTTTGTTGATTATTTATGCTTTATTTTAGACTACTTATGCAAGCGATATGATTTCAAGCAATTCCAATATTTATTCTCTTCTTGATGATTTGAAAATGCTAAATTTTATTGGATTTGTACCAAAATAGGGAAAAGAAGTAATTGTCATTCCCTTTCATGCCTATTGATAAATTGATCTTAAGCAATCAAAAGATCCCACTAGCACTCTTGTGGTGCCCGAAGTTCTGCTTAGCTTTGCGACACACTACCCCTTTCAATCTACTTTCTCCTTCCTATAATAGTTTTCAGAACAAGATTGTCATAATGATTATTCTCCTCTTGAGCTCAATTGTAATATTGGCTTACTTCCTTTTCTAAATTGGAGAGAAATTTGTTGTAAATTTTTGCCCCATCAAAACCTCCACTGGCCTTGGAGAAGGCATGACATTGGCAAAGAGCTAACAACAAAGAAACAAAAGATGAAATTATAATTAGGGGGTGAGTGAAGTCTTTGGCAACAATAAGGAGCTCGAGCTCGCCTCTTAAGTCCATGAAGAAAATGAAGACTTATTCGCGAGTTGTATCCAAGCTTTATTTTAAGACATCAAAATTTTTTCCCGATAGTAATATATAGGAGAGGGATTTGAAGTTGGAAAAATTATGGCTTGAGATGATATCAAATAATTGCATTAGAGGACTATTCTGACAAAATAATTAATTAGAGGCAAATTGGGATTATTCTTATTATATTAACTTTTGCATTTATTTTCAAAAAAAAATTTAGAGTACATTTTGCATATCTTTATTTTTAAAAATAATTCATAGACCTTTTGAGTACTACTAAACTCAATCATGTTTCTTTTCGCATTAAAAAAATAATCTAATTCAAATCAAAATATAAATAAAATAAAATATATTAATTACTAATGATCCCATTAGTTGTTTATCGAAAAAAATCAAAAGTTGGGTCGAACAAGTTCAGTAATATTTAATTTCATATAAATCTTTGACCGTACAGAAAAAAAGGCATTATAGAATAAATGACAGCAAAATAAGTGATGTTTCATGCAATTCATCTTAATCTCAATCATCCTCTTTTATCCATTTTAAAAAATTTTAGCTCAAATATCGAAGGTCAAAATAAAATCTTCATATTTTTCATTTTTAGCAAAATAAGTGATGTTTGATGGTGGCACGCATAAATAGATCGGTTCGGCACTTCAAACAAATCATCTCGGTGCTTAAGTTGTAAATATCAATGTTTCAAGGGGGTTTAATGATCTCTATAAAGTAGGTATGAATTTAAGATTAATTTCGGAAAAAAATAATTACGGCCTTTTATATCACGCAAGGTAAACGGCGCACGAGCAGCTTTCGTTTTGGTGCCTCAAGGAAAATAAAATAATCCATGCCGTTTGATTGAAATCTGACGGCTTATGATAGTAGTACATGAAAAAAATCGGAGAGAGAATTTGTAGGGACCATTATTTAGAAAATTCTAGCCATTACCTTTGGCTTTTGGTGGCGAGGGAATAGATTGGCCACCCACCTCTACTTCAGTGAATAATTTTTTCTCTTCATTGAGAAGGAGAAGCA